GAGCGTTGTTGTGGGTGGTTTGTTGTTTGGTGGCTGTGGGGGGGGGGGGTAACGCGCAGATCTGCCCTCACAGAGGAGGGAGAGCTTGTACCTGAAGGCGGGCTGGGGGGGGGCTCTGCAACTTACCTGGCTGCTTCTTGCTCCTCGTGGCCCGACTGAGGGCTGCTGGGAGCAATGGGCGGGGCTTGTTGCATGTGCCCACCCCCTGGGCTCCTTCCTGCTGGAGCTCTGCTCCTGTGCGCTCCCGGTGGAAATGACCCCTGGACAATATTGTCTTTGATTCAGTATAAAGCAGTTTCATGTGTGTTTGATTCCTAAACAAGAAGGCAGGGGACTCGGGCCGAGCTCTGGCCAGTTGTTACTCAAGGGAAGGGGGAAAGAGAGAGACCTGGGGAGTCGTGCCGTTGCTTTGGAAGCACCCAAGCCCCAACACACCTTCCAGCACTCCAAACAGGGTTCTTTGTGCTTGAGGCAAACTCGGCTGCCTTTGGCACTCCAAGCCGTTCCCTCTGATACCCCCACGAAAACCAGCTCTGTCCCAAAATTTCCAGAGCTGTAATGAAAGAATGTAATGAGGAGGTTAAAACGCTGAGCTGCAGACTTGAAGGTCGGTAGCTCGGCAGTTCGAGCCCCGAGTGCCGCGTGACGGAGTGAGCTCCCGTCTCCGGCCCCAGCTCCTGCCAACCTAGCAGTTTGGAAGCAAGAAAATGCAAGTGGATAAACAGGTACCACTTTGGTGGGAAGGGAACAGCGTTCCGTGTGCCTCGGCGTCTAGTCATGCCGGCCACATGACTACGGAAACGTCTTCGGACAGCGCTGGCTCTTTGGCTTGGAAACGGAGATGAGCACCGCCCCCTAGAGTCGGATTCGACTGGCTTTCGAACAAGGGAGACCTTTACCTTTAATGAATCGGTAAGGTGACAGATGCACAGAGGAAAGCATCAGGGTTTGTGCCATGCTTTAAAATTGAAGAAGGTGCCGTTTCAAGCCAAGGGACACTTTGGTGTCAATTTGGTGGTGTGGTTAAGTGCACAGACTCTAATCTGGGAGAACCGGGTTTGATTCCCCACTCCTCCACTTGCAGCTGCTGGATGACCTTGGGCATGCCACAGTTCTGATAAGAGCTGTTCTTGGAAAAAGAGCAGTTTCTGTCCGAGCTCTCTCAGCCCCACCGACCTCACAGGGTGTCTGTTGTGTGGAGGGGAAGGGAAAGGAGTTTGTAAGCCCCTCTGAGACTCCCTTGGGTAGTGAAGGGCAGGGCATAAATCCAATCTCTTTTCTCCTTTTTCCCCTCTGTTCCTCCTTCCAGGCACAAATTGACCAGTACGTAGGGCTGGTGAGGAACCAGTTGAGTAACCTCCGAGCAAAGTAAGTGTATGTGTGTTTCTCCCCTTCCCCTCCGCCACCTCTTCCCTTCAGTGCAGACGAAAGGAGACCCTCCTTTTTCCATTCCACTCGGGTTCTTGCCCGTCTTCTCAAATTGTGGGGCCGAGCAGCTTCCATTGTTGGCGGGGAATTCCTCGCGGTTTCTCTGCAGCATCCTGCAGGTCAAAGAGGTACGGGTCCCAGTGGAGGGAATCGGCTCTCTTTCGGCGGGTGTGGCCAAGTGTCCACAAATCAACATGTCACTCACGGATGAAGTTGTGGTCAGAGATGTAGTTGGTATTCTTGCTAGGCCAAGCTTCCGGGAAATGAATTGGGAACCCAGAAATCCCTTCCTAAGTGGGAGCTGTCTGTTAACACCCTCCGCCAAGCCCACGATTCGGTGTGTATTTCCTTGTCCGTTGATTGGTGAACGCCAGAAACTTAGACATCGAATTCAAACGGTTATTCCCGAGGCTGGAAGCTTTGACTTACATCCTTAAAGCTTTTACCGACTCCCTTAAATCATACCCTTTCCCAGCTATCACGTGATTCCATTTGCAGCCGCCTTGCCCTCATCCAGTCTTCGAGAACAGAGTTCGAGTCCGGTGACACCTTCAAGAGCGACAAAGTTTTGTTCAAGGTATACGTTGAAGTGCGCCTTGCACAAGAAAGCTGATCCCCAGAATTAAACTTTGCTGGTCTTCAAGGTGCCGCTGGACTCAAACTTTGTTCTGTTGCTTCGGACCAACACGGCGACCCACCGGTGTTCCCTCTAAGCTGAGTTAGTGTGAGCTAGCTCACAGTTCTTTAGCCTCCGGCTCACACATTTTTGTTTCGGCTCAGGAAGGAGGTGGCTCCAGAGCAAACTAATCTGTGCAGGAGCCGAATCGCTCAGTCACAACTTTAACGCCAGCAGCTCACAAAGTAGGATTTTTGCTCACAAGACTCCACAGCTTAGAGGGAGCATTGCTACCCACCTGGATCTACCAGTCTGAGAGAGAGAACAGAGAGAGAGAGTTTCCGCATTTGCCTGCCGCTCCAGATGTTCTCAGTGTTTGAGTCGAGGCAGTTTAAGTCCAACAGCAAAACGGCATCCAAATAACCCGGGGAAACAGCAGGCTGAAACCGGGCTGACCACTGAACGGAGGGAATGTAATGCAGAATTGGGGGGGAAACCCAGATTAAAAAGAAGGTTGAACTCGAATTTAATGCAGAATGGAAAACAAACCTGGATCAAAAAGAAGCTTGGATTTGATTTTAGTGCGGAACTGCTTGGAGGACACCGCGTGGTGAACATAGATTAAAAGGAGACTGCAGAAAGGGTCTCGGAGTGATTTGAGTCCAGGGTGACTTCGGCATGAGAACGAATGGGGAAAATTCTGCCCAGTGACATGCAGTCACTCTGGAGGGAGACGTTGCCACTGCCTGAGGAAGGGGAGGGGGGATACCAGACAATTCCTTTGTAAAAACAAGCTCACGTCCCCTCTCTCATAGCACGAATTTAAACAGCTGTTCTTTTGCCCCCTCCCCCTAAAAAAAAAACAATTAGAAAGGGGAATCCGCTAGATTGGAGTCCGGTATAGCACCTGCGGTGGCTCAGAGGTTAAGACGCTGAGCTGCAGACTGGAAGGTCGGTCATTCAGCAGTTTGAGACCCGAGTGCCACGTGACGGAGTGAGCTCTCATCTCTGGCCCCAGCTCCTGCCAACCTAGCAGTTCAAAAGCAAGGAATTGCAAGTAGATAAATAGGTACCGCTTCAGTGGGAAGGTAACAGTGTTCCGTGCACCTCAGCATTTAGTCATGCCGGCCACGTGACCACGGAGAAGTCTTCGGACAGCGCTGGCTCTTCGGCTTGGAAACGGAGATGAGCACCGCATCCCTAGAGTTGGCTTTGACTGGCTTTCGAGCAAGGGAAACCTTTACCTTTACCTTTATAGCACCTTAGAGATCAGGAAGATTTTCAGAGTAGGGGCCTTCCAGAGTCAAAGCTCCCGATGCAGCGTGGTGTCCACCAAAAACTTCCCTGGCGCCTGCCAAGTGTTTTTAGGAGGGGGGGTTTGCCCAGGAAGGCTTCTGATGGGCCATTGTAGACTTGATTGGCCGTGCAGATTTTTTAAAGATGTCACATGACTGAAGGCAAGCTGCGGCAGCCATTTTGTGTCCGGCTTCACCGCCTGTGGCAGCCATTTTGTGTCCGGCTTCACCTCCTGCGGCGGCCATTTTGTGGCTGTACTTGTCAGGCTGCGTCAAAATTCCAAAGGTGTCTGCACGTTCAAAAGGAGGTTGGGGGACCCCTGAATTAGGACTCCTCGTAAATAACACTTATTTCTTTCTCTTTTTCCTAGGATGTTGGCCAAGCTCCCGACAGCCAAAGCAAAAGCGGAATGAATGGCACCCCTCCTCTCTGTCCCCCCCCCCATATACACCCCCCCCGCAGAAACAGAGCTCTAAGCTCACCTCCCCCTTTCCATCAGGGTCAGACCAGGGAGGGTCCACCTAGTCCAGCATCCCTCCTTACACAGCAGGCAACAAGTTCCTCTGGAGGGCTGACAACAGGGCAGAGAGGCCTTCCCCTCATAAGAATATTAGAAGAGCCCAATTGGATCAAACCAGTGGTCCATCTAGTCCAGCATCCCATCTCACCCATCGGCCGACCAGTTCTCTGGAGGGCCAACAACAGGGCACAGAGGCTGAGGCCTTCATAAGAACCAAAGAAGAGCCCTGCTCGATCAGACCAGTGAGGGTCCATCTAGTCCACCATCCTGTCTCATACAGGGGCCAGCCAGTTCCTCTGGAGGGCCAACAACAGGGCACAGAGGCTGAGGCCTTCATAAGAACTTCAGAAGAGCCCTGCTGGATCTGACCAGTGGTCCATCTAGTCCATCCCTTCTCACCCAATGGCCAACCAGTTCCTCTGGAGGGCCAACAGCCAGGCAGAGAGGCCGAGGCCTTCATAAGAACTTCAGAAGAGCCCTGCTGGATCAGACCAGTGAGGGTCCACCTAGTCCAGCCTCCCGTCTCACACAGTGGCCAACCAGCTCCTCTGGAGGTCCTACCACAGGGCCTAGAGGCCGAGGCCTTCCCCTGATGTTGCCATTCAGAGGTTTAGTACATCTGAAGGTGGAAGTTCCCCTCAGCCACCATGGCTGGTTAGCCGCTGACCGATTTATCCTCCATGAATCTATCCAGTCCCCTTTTCAAGCTGTTGATCCCTGTGGCCGTCACGACGTGGGCAGGGCTTCCTCATCACAAGCCGCCCCACCCGAGGTTAGAATTTGGTCACTCATATCGCAGCCACCTCTGAACCCACCGCTACAGGTCTGGGGGACATGGCGGGGCTGACTGGGGGAGGGAAGAACCCACCGCTACAACACTTCCCTCCCCCCGCCACCTTGTATCAAAGGCTGAGGGTCTCTGACCTCCCCCCTGGCCTGTGAGTCTTAGTGAGGGAACACTGGCAAGCCCCCTCCATGGCCTGCATGCCCCACGAGGAATCTCTGGGGAGGGCGCTACAGAGTTGTATAGCAGAGGCAGGATCTCCTTTGGTTCTTCAGCAGGCTCTCAGAGGGGAAGGGGAGGATATGAGGGAAAAAGGGCTCAGCCAGGCTTCTCTGCCACTGTGAGAACCGAGGGACCGGCAGTCCCAAACTGGCCAAGGGTCACCCCTACGACCCGGAAGTTGGCCCACCCCTTCTTCTGCCAACCTGGCTCGGCAGGACCCCACAAAGCGACCCTGGGAGAGACGCCTTCCTGAAGCTCGGGAGAGAAGGAGACGCCTCTTTCGCAACCCTCCGCGTTGGCCTGGGATTGGGGGTGGGGGGACGGCTGTAAGACCCCGGCCTCAAAGGAGCGCAGAAGTGCCGAGGGCTGGTTTGCGGACTGCGGTCTCCCCGTAGAGCAAGCTGGAAAGTGGGGACCCCCCCGACCGAATATTAAATTTTAGTACATGTTTTAAAAAAACATATTGTCCGTGGGCTGTGTGGCTTTATTTTATACACACACACACACATTATTATTATTATTATGTTGAGCCTTCGATTAGAACAGCAACAGTCAGGACCAGGGCGGTATGGCTCAGGGGACGTTTGTCTGCCCCACAGTTTGGTGTCGTGGTTCAGTGCGCGGACTCTTAATTGGGGAGAACCGGGTTCGTTTCCTGAAAAGTACTGAGACTTACTAGTGATTTCCGCTCTCATACTTTATTTCAGGTAAGAACAAGACAAGTAGCAACGGCTTGCAGGCCGGCTTATATGTGCCTCGAACCCCACACCAGTGATAGGTTATTTACAGTGGCCAAGAGTTCCATGGGTCCTCGGCCGGGAGTCTAGTTCTCCGATTGGTGTGAGCTAGGATCCTCTCGGTCCATTGTCTGAGGAGTGAGGCTCGGACACTTCGCCTGACCGCGTGGAGCCCTTGCCTCCCACGTGGTCGGGGCTGAATACACTACAATTCCCCACTCCTCCATTTGCACCTGTTGGATGACCTTGGGCAAGCTGTAGTTCTGACAAGAGCTGTTCTTGAAAAAGAGCCATTTCTGTCAGAGCTCTCAACGGGGGGGTTGATTCCCCACTCCTCCACTTGCACCTGGCTAGATGACCTTGGGCAAGCCGTAGTTCTGATAAGAGCTGTTCTTGAAAAAGAGCAGTTTCTGCCAGAGCGCTCTCAGCCCCACCTACCTCACACGGTGTCTGTTGTGGGGAGGGGAAGGGAAAGGATTTTGTAAGCCGCTCTGAGACACCTTCGGGTAGTGAAGGGCGGGGTATAGATCCAATCTCCTCTTCTATTTGGGGTGCCACTAAGGCAGAGCACAATCAAGAGGTGCACCCACCGCCCCTTGTGACTTTGCAAAAGACTGCCCAACTGCTTGTGCCAACCCACTCCTGCTGGCAGGGTGCCAGAACCCAGCTAGCTTCCTCCGCTACTGTGGACGCTTGTTGCCCATGACCAATGTTCCCTCTAAGCTGTGGAGCCTTGTGAGCAAAAATTCTACAATGTGCGAGCTGGAGGCTAAAAAACTGTGAGCTAGCTCACACTAACTCAGCTTAGAGGGAACACTGCCCATGACCCTCACAGCCTTATACAATCCACCTAGCGGAGTTCTGCCTGTTCTGCCCAGCAGCTCCAGCACCTCGGGCACGCAAAGACCTGCCACCAGACACCTTCGATGATGCCAGGATCAGACCAGTGCGTGCAAAGCCAGGACTCTACCCCCCCTGAGCCTGGCACGTCCCAAATCAGGCCATTCCTCTAGCCAGCTCAGCCTCGTCCATTCAGGCCTGCCGCTGCTTGAGATCTGTGGCCAGCAATGTCAGGGATCAAAGCCGGGACCTTCTGCACGTGGAGCAGGTGCTCTGCCCGTGTTCCAGCCCTGCCCGCCCACAGTTTCCCATTCCTAATTTTCCAGTCATAAATCCCTTGCTTTGCACAGTTCTGGCCCTGATTAGAGGGAATCAGGCCTGTAGCTGCAGTGGGGCATTTGGGGGCCTGGCCCCCTGACTTCCATGCAGCCCCCAGGCCCCTCCCCGGGAGGACTCCCCGCTGCCACCCCTTCCCCAAGCGCACTTTGCTTCCCTGCGTGGGTGGCGGTCTGCAAGCGCTGCAAAAGTGAGTTTTTTAAATTTCAAAATTTTTATTTTGTGATGCCAGTGCCCCCCTGACTTATTTAAAGCTGCCCCCCCCAAAAAAAAATTACAAAATTCAGTCTACGACCCTGGAGGGAATAAATGGTATTTCAGCTGCTAGAATTCTTGGCCTGTTCCACAAAAATGGTTTGACTCTATCCAGGAAAGTGCGCCAGCACTGGAGACGGTAGCGAGACTCTCCAGTTCCGGGGGTCTGCTTTAGGGCCTCATCATCTCAGGAGAAAGAGGCTGGCTTCCTTACCCTCTTTGCAATATGCACGGCAGGTGTGTGTAACCAGCACATGAGACACTGCCTTGATTTTCTGCCTTCCCCCCCAGTCATGGGTTTTTTTTCATTGGTTAAAGTAGCACATCTACATTGTGATTTGTGAGCACTCTTCAAAGAAAAGCAATGCAAGGAACTGGGAAGGTGGGGTTGGTGACGGCACAGGCACCTGCCTCTCAGAGTTATGCGAAGCCAGTTTCTGCCCCCAGACTTGCTGAACAGCCCCAAGCTCTGAGAGAAATTTACTTGTTCTGAGAGTGCATTTGCCCTGTCTTGGTCAATCAAACAAAAAGGAAACTACTGTGCAGGGGTCATTTCGTAGAAAAAGAGGTGCAGGAGCTTATTAGCATTACTTATTTGCACATGTCACACCCCCTGACATCACCGGAAGTGTGTCAGAAGGCAATACCCACCGCTCAGGCTCCACTGGACTCTTTTGGATTGCTAGCTATGGAGGTGGGGGGGAATGCACAGATCTGTCCTCGCAGAGGAGGGAGAGCTTGTACCTGAATAAACCTTGTCCTTAAAGGTGCCACTGGACTGTTTTGGACTGCTAGCTTGAGAGAACAGCTCTGAGAGAACTTGTGACTGACCCAAGGTCACACCAGTAACTGCAAATGGAGGAGTGGAGAATCTAACCCGGTTCCCCCAGATTGGAGTCTTAACCCCAACATCAAACTAGGCCATAAGAACATAACAGACGCCAATGTTGGATACTGTGTACAAAGTCATTTAACTCCAATATCAAATTTCATCAATGTACAGCTAAACAATTTTAACCAGAAAGAATTTTCTCTCAACTGTTGCTAGAATCTCTAGGATTCTCGTCAGTCCAGGCTTGGTATTATAAAATAACAGAATTAAATTCTAGCACCCGTATTCTGGTTAAAAGGGTTTCGCTATACACTGATGAAGTTTGATATTGGAGTTAGTGTTAAAACAATTTTATACACAGCAGTTTCCCATTTGCTCAATACCATGCACTGTGTTGCCCTGTGTCCAGTTTTGGGCATCACATTTTAGGAAGGATGTTGACAAGCTCAAGCATGTACAGAAGAGGGCAGCCCAGGATGGTGAGAGGGTTGGAGTCCAAGTCTTACAAGGAAAGGCTGAAAGAGTTGGGTATGTTTAGTCTGGGAAAAAGAAGGCTTAGAGGGGACATGATTGCAGTTTCCAAATATTGGAAGGGCTGTCATGTAGAAGGTCGATCAGATCTGTTCTCTCTTGCTCCGGATTGCAAGACTAGGTCTAATGGGTGGAAATTA